CACTTCGAACCATCAAGGTCACATAATCGACATGTTCATATTTTGTTCACTAGCAGGAAGGACTGACACGTGTTCACTAGCAGGAAGGACTGACACGTGTTCACTAGCAGGAAGGACTGACACGTGTTCGTCTTGGAAGTCCTTAAGTTGTCTAGTCGTGACAGGAAGGAGCATTTTGTGTTCGTTTACGCATATGTGACCCTGAGTGTGTCAGTCGCAGTTTGTTTTTATACCCCATTTTACCCCCACACACATGGCCATACCTAGTCCCACACACACACATGGCCACACCTAGTCCCACACACACACATGGCTATACCTAGTCCCACACACACACATGGCTATACCTAGTCCCACACACACACATGGCCACACCTAGTCCTACACACACACATGGCCACACCTAGTCCCACACACACACATGGCTATACCTAGTCCCACACACACACATGGCTATACCTAGTCCCACACACACATGGCCACACCTAGTCCCACACACACACATGGCCACACCTAGTCCCACACACACACATGGCTATACCTAGTCCCACACACACACATGGCCACACCTAGTCCCACACACACACATGGCTATACCTAGTCCCACACACACATGGCAACATCTAGTCCTATATATATATATACACATATATATGTGTGTGTGTCTACTTCTTCACACACACAAATGCCTCCACTCAATCCCCAGTATTTACCCAGTAGGTAAATACTGAGAGGTGGATGATGAGGGCCGGGAGGCGGATGATGAGGGCTGGGAGGCGGATGATGAGGGCTGGGAGGCGGATGGTGAGGGCTGGGAGGCGGATGGTGAGGGCTGGGAGGCGGATGATGAGGGCTGGGAGGCGGATGGTGAGGGCTGGGAGGCGGATGGTGAGGGCTGGGAGGCGGATGGTGAGGGCTGGGAGGCGGATGGTGAGGGCTGGGAGATGAACAAAGCAGTGAACCTAACAATCAGGCCCAACCCTGCACTTCCTGCTGGCCCCACCAAGGTCTCCTGGCGGCTCCCATCACACACTAACCACAGGAAGCATCCTCGCTGATCTTGCTGCATCAGGAAAAAGACATATATATGTTATTTAACTGGGACCACCAAAACTATGCTGAGTAGTTCCACGTCGAGCTGACTCGTTAACTTGTTTACACACCATTATTATAGGTACGTCAGGTGTGTGGAGAGAGGGAGAGTTGACTATTGTGTCTGGTCCACAGCACGCGAGGCGGCCCCTGAACTGAAAGGGTAGAGATGAAGTGGACTTAAGACATTCTCCGACGTCATTGAGAACGTTGCACTTGAACGTTGAACGTGTTAATTTGAGAATGACCTTGAATATATATATATATATATATATATATATATATATATATATATATATATATATATATATATATATATATATATATATATATATATATATATATATATATGAAATTGCTTCCTTCTGCCGACGAAATATATGGAGCCACACTCAACGTCAGCGAGAAAGCTATAGCGTCTTAACACTCGGGGTCATCTAACACAACTGTCTAAGTGCTTAAACTGTCTTCGATCATTCGAGGCTGTGACGCCCACAGTAGCTCTGAAGACGAGCCCTGAAGCGCTGCGTAAGTCCGTCACACGCAGGACATGAGCAGCGAGGGTCGTCTTCCAGAGACACAACCGAAACGACGACTCGTGCTCCCAACACGACTCACAAACACGACAAACGATTCCTTAACAATACAATACCATATAGTTCGCTCTAGTAGGCTTAGACATGTAGAGTAGACCTAGTGATGGGCAGAGGTGCTATAGACCCAGTGATAAGCAGAGGTGCCATAGGCCCTGTGATGAGATGAGGTGCCATAGGCCCAGTGATGAGCAGAGGTGCCATATGCCCTCACAGTGGTAAGTAGAGGTGCACCTCTAGCTGTACTGATGGGCAGAGGTGCCATAAGTACAATCAGAAAATGCTGTGTTAAATTAACATAAGAGGCCCACGACTCTTCAACTTGCTGCCACAGAACAAAATATTACCGGCATAACGGTGGATATGTTCAGGAGGCAGAAGGACAAGCTTCTAGATGAAGTACCGGATCAACCAGGTTGTGATGGGTAATAGTGAGTCCAGAGACGCGAGTTCGATCCCACCAAATGCCATAATTTGTTTTCTTTCAGATCAAGTAACCTCAAGACAGACCTAACCTAAGGCCGGGCTTGAGAAGTAGAACTCTCGAAACCCGCATCAGGTAAATATGACTAATATTATTATAGATCTCGTTTTGGCAGCTGCGAATTGAAACCACCAACTGTCTGGTTGATCAGACCGTCAACCAGGAAGCGGAAGCAGTGACTCCGCCCCCTCCCCCTCCCTCCTCAAACACCAAAATGGCTGGCAACCGAAAAACACTCATTTGAACAATTCAAGTTAAACACGTGACGGCGTTGAGAACACGTCCGGGACCAGTAATGATCAAGATAACTGTAGTGAGAAGTATTCTGGCTGATGAACACCAAAATCACGTGCACCATGTGCTCAACACATATTTACAGGATACATACAGTGTTACACCAGGCCAGACACTCACATGTATATGTGTAATTACCTCATTGTACTTACAGGAAGAGAAGGTGTGTACTCACCTATTTGTGCTTGTGTTATACTCAAATTCTGTCAGTTGAAATGTAACCAATCACAGGCAAGTAGGCCTCTGACGTCATGCCAGACAGAGGAGCATCAAGCATGCTCCCAGCAGCCTCAGTTATCCTCACAGACTCAGAGTAGATATTTACCTTGCTATCTCAGTCAATAAATATATACAGAAGCGACTACTGAGTCTACATTCTACCCGAACAAGGCAAACGAATACTTGCGGGGGTTGAGCTTTGGCTCTTTGGTCCCGCCTCTCAACTGTCAATCAACTGGTGTACAGATTCCTGAGCCTACTGGGCTCTATCATATCTACATTTAAAACTGTGTATGGTGTCAGCCTCCACCACGTCACTGCCTAATGCATTCCATCTGTTAACTACTCTGACGCTGTAAAAGTTCTTTCTATTGTCTCTGTGGCTCATTTGGGTACTTAACCTCCACCTGTGTCACCTTGACCGTGTACCACCCGCGTCAAATAATCAATGCTTGTCTACCCTGTCAATTCCCCTGAGAATTTTGTATGTGGTGATCATGTCTCCCCCGGGCTTTTCTGTCTTTCAGCGACGTGAGGTGCAGTTCCCTCAGCCTTTCCTCATAACTCATGCCTCTTACTTCTGGGACTACCCTAGTGGCATACCTCTGTGTATTCACCTAGATGCATTCACCTAGTTCTGCTTGCGGGGGTTGAGCTCTGCTCTTTCGGCCCGTCTCTCAACTGTCAATCAATCAACTGTTACTAACTACAAACTAATTTTTTCACACACACACACACACACACACACACACACACACACACACACACACACACACACACACACACACACACACACACACACACACACACACACAGGAAGCAGCCTGTAACAACTGTCTAACTCCCAGGTCCCTATTTACTGCTAGGTAACAGGGCCATCAGGGCTGAAAGAAACTTTGCCCATTTTTCTCTACTGGCGCCAGGAATCGAACCCGGACAACAGGATTACGAGTCCCGCCCGCTGTCCACTCAGCTACCAGACCCCTGTGTGTGTGTGTGTGTGTGTGTGTGTGTGTGTGTGTGTGTGTGTGTGTGTGTGTGTGTGCACGCGCGCAAGGGTGGGCTCCACCCCAGGGAGGCAACCACGACCTTCCTGGCCGGCCACGGCTGCTGCCCTCTGTCTCCCACAAGTCGTGATGTACGCTCTTTAATCATGCGGAAATTCAAGTTTAAAATATGTCCGCGTGTGTGGTAAACTCTTGAGTTTTATTTGTTTGAGCTTCTGTGTGTGTGTGTGTGTGTGTGTGTGTGTGTGTGTGTGTGTGTGTGTGTGTGTGTGTGTGTGTGTGTGTTTAGTTTAATTCAGAGACTGTTCACCCGTTTTCTAATAATATTTATATTTAACTCTTTGACACTGCATTGTTCGACGACACCTCATGATGCTACACCCTATTACACTACACACCATGATGCTACAATCCTCGATGCTACTCCTTTTGATGTTACACCCCCCCTAACGATACACCCCCCGACGATACAACCCCTGACGATACACCCCCTGAAGATACAACCTCCCTAACGATACATCCCCTGACGATACATCAGACAATACGCATCCACCGACGATACATGCCACATAACACACAATCCCTGACACTGCTCCTTGGACCCCCTAGATCTCCCAATGTGCCCCCCCCCCGTCCCCCTTCCCCCCCCCCCCCCACGTTGACCAGTTAGAAGCCTCGTTTGAAGCTGTGGCGGAGATGACTACTCGAGTGCTTCAGTCAGACAAACATGTCGCTCGCTGATCAGACCCCAGACACTTACCTGCAACAGCCTCGCTACGTGCCTCTCCCTCATTTAACCTGTTCAGCTCTGATTGCCAGTCTCTGGTGAGTAACGCCAGTGTTGACTTTTACTGTGAGCCAAGAGGCGTCATCAGAACGAGGTAGTTGGCGCCCGATGCTAATGATGAAGCAGCGTGTGGCAGCTCCGGCGCGGTGGTGCCACCATCGGGGCAGTGGTTGTTGCTCCACATCTCACTCGACTCCTACCTCAAGGGGGCTCTGAGACAACCAATCAACTCCCGCCTAGAGAGGGATCTGAGGCAACGCCCCAACTCTCATCGGCTTCACAAATTTGCCTTAATTGCAATATTACACGACGGTTTCCTCACAAATGTTCATAATTGCAAGATTGCTCTGACACAACTACTTTCAATACTACGCAACGACCAACAAGGTTCCGATTAAACCCTCGTGTGAGGTGCGCCAGGACGCGAAGGTCGAGCCAGCACAACGAGGCTGAAATTGCCAACACTGGGATAATTACGGGTCCCCGTGATGGCACCAATTAGTGACGGCATATGACCTCTTACTTCAGGTAGAGATAATATTTTTCCCCTCTTCAATGTGCTGACGCTGCCTTTGGCACTTGAAATGGTTCTGGCACTGGTACATGAACTGGTTCTGGCACTGGTACATGAACTGGTTCTGGCACTGGTACATGAACTGGTTCTGGCACTGGTACATGAACTGGTTCTGGCACTGGTACATGAACTGGTTCTGGCACTGGTACATGAACTGGTTCTGGCACTGGTACATGAACTGGTTCTGGCACTGGTACATGAACTGGTTCTGGCACTGGTACATGAACTGGTTCTGGCCCCCCGGGCACTTGAACTGGTTCTGGCACTGGTACATGAACTGGTTCTGGCACTGGTACATGAACTGGTTCTGGCCCCCCTGGCACTTGAACTGGTTCTGGCACTGGTACATACAGATTTACAGTCTGGTCACAGTTTACGAAGGTTTACCTTAGGTAACAAACAGGTTACAGTCACACAATACTTTCAGGAAGTAAAGACCAATGTTCTGAAGACCAAGCAGTATATATTTCTGCTGTATTATTTACAGGCTTTATTGCTTGAAACTTACGATAAAGTAACTGTTCCATTACTGTAACGTGGCAGTAAACCAAACATGAGACCCGCAGTTACAATAGGGGCAAGTTTACAATGGGGTGAACTCTACAATAGGTAAACCTTGCATACTTGGCTAGGATTTTAAGACCTTGTTTTACGGGTGAAAATGTATATATATGCAAGCTAGCTTTGTAACTTAAGTGCCAGTGTTAAAACACTGTAATCATCTTGTGTGGTTGCATGGTCTGTGACCCGTTACACGGTAGTATAACACACTTCTAACATTAGCCAAGGAGCTTATAACAGTATGTTTAATGATTTGCAATGATGATGGACTTAAAGACTTTTAACCTCTAGAGAGGTCATCATAGCCACCACGATGGCTTACTGACCAGTCAATAAGATGGCTTACTGACCAGTCAATAAGATGGCTTACTGACCAGTCAATAAGATGCCTTACTGACCAGTCAATAAGATGCCTTACTGACCAGTCAATAAGATGCCTTACTGACCAGTCAATAAGTATACATTAATCTTGAAAAACAGTCCAAGACGTAAGCTAACTCCCATTGTATGTACACCGAAAAATTGGGTACACCTCTCGGTGTACCAGTATCGGTGTGTATATATATATATATATATATATATATATATATATATATATATATATATATATATATATATCACTTCTCATATAAATTTGCCTAATAAGCCAAGTTTTCATATATATAACCTAATATATATATATATATATATATATACGCTAATATATATATATATATATATATATATATATATATATATATATTCATTTTATTTACATTTTATATCAGTGTTTTCTGCCTTAGTGGTTGTTAGTTTAAAAGAGCATCACATTCAACTAGACTGCTCTTTCAGTCTCTTGTATATAAAATAATTTATATTTCTGTTTCTAATAAGCATTTTCAATCAGTCCAAAACTTTATTGGTAAATGGCAGTACATATATAATTGGGAGAGTGTAAGCATTGTAGGCCTCTTAGGGATGTGTAGAAACTCCCAGTGTACTATATATATATATGTGTGTGTGTGTGTGTGTGTGTGTGTGTGTGTGTGTGTGTGTGTGTAAACTAAAGTCTTTGAAAATGTAATAAGTTATTACGAAACGCGTTCAGGCGTCGCGTGAGACTAGAAATAAAAATGATTTTTGGAGAATTGATTTTTCAATTACCATTGTCAGTGAAAAGAAACATTAGAAATATTGAGAAAATTCGTGTTAGAATGATTAATCTTACCTTTTCGGTCATATTTAACAACATATATATATATATATATATATATATATATATATATATATATATATATATATATATATATATATGCACAACTATATTCTACCCACCTCAAGACTCCGCTCCAATATAGAAGCATCAAGAAATATGGACCAATAGGCTTTCTACAATATATATATATATATATATATATATATATATATATATATATATATATATATATATATATATATGTGTATCATATAATCAATATGATACACATATAATCAATGTGTATCTATATATATATATATATATATATATATATATATATATATATATATATATATATATGTATGTATAACTGAAAACTCTCGCTCTCCGAGTTCAGACACTCGCAATTCCCAATCGAGCTGTCACGCTCTCCCACATAGAAAGAGCTCCGCGACTCCGGCCTCACTCAGCTCTCTGCTCTGCTCCAAGCTCCGTCTCAACGTCTACGACAACGCCACCAACCGACTACTGCAATCAAGACTACTAAATAAATATGAAAACTCACTAATCAATGTGTATCTAATCTACCCAACAACGTAACATAAACGTACGTTACATTGGTAACGTACAGATCGTCGTCCTCACCAGCAGCGCTTGCGTCAGGTCGTCGTCCTCACCAGCAGCGCTTGCGTCAGGTCGTCGTCCTCACCAGCAGCGCATGCGTCAGGTCGTCGTCCTCACCAACAGCGCTTGCGTCAGGTCGTCGTCCTCACCAACAGCGCATGCGTCAGGTCGTCGTCCTCACCAGCAGCGCATGCGTCAGGTCGTCGTCCTCACCAGCAGCGCTTGCGTCAGGTCGTCGTCCTCACCAGCAGCGCTTGCGTCTGGTCGTCGTCCTCACCAACAGCGCTTGCGTCAGGACGTCGTCCTCACCAGCAGCGCTTGCGTCAGGTCGTCGTCCTCACCAGCAGCGCTTGCGTCAGGTCGTCGTCCTCACCAACAGCGCTTGCGTCAGGTCGTCGTCCTCACCAGCAGCGCTTGCGTCATGTCGTCGTCCTCACCAGCAGCGCTTGCGTCAGGTCGTCGTCCTCACCAGCAGCGCATGCGTCAGGTCGTCGTCCTCACCAGCAGCGCTTGCGTCAGGTCGTCGTCCTCACCAGCAGCGCTTGCGTCAGATCGTCGTCCTCACCAACAGCGCTTGCGTCAGGTCGTCGTCCTCACCAGCAGCGCTTGCGTCAGGTCGTCGTCCTCACCAGCAGCGCATGCGTCAGGTCGTCGTCCTCACCAGCAGCGCTTGCGTCAGGTCGTCGTCCTCACCAGCAGCGCTTGCGTCAGGTCGTCGTCCTCACCAGCAGCGCTTGCGTCAGGTCGTCGTCCTCACCAGCAGCGCTTGCGTCAGGTCGTCGTCCTCACCAGCAGCGCTTGCGTCAGGTCGTCGTCCTCACCAGCAGCGCTTGCGTCAGGTCGTCGTCCTCACCAGCAGCGCTTGCGTCAGGTCGTCGTCCTCACCAACAGCGCTTGCGTCAGGTCGTCGTCCTCACCAACAGCGCTTGCGTCAGGTCGTCGTCCTCACCAGCAGCGCTTGCGTCTGGTCGTCGTCCTCACCAGCAGCGCTTGCGTCTGGTCGTCGTCCTCACCAGCAGCGCTTGCGTCTGGTCGTCGTCCTCACCAGCAGCGCTTGCGTCAGGTCGTCGTCCTCACCAGCAGCGCTTGCGTCTGGTCGTCGTCCTCACCAGCAGCGCATGCGTCAGCCAGTCGCTGGTGACAGTGCGTGGATATTGGCATCCATTATGGTTCACTCCCCGGGTCCACACAGCCTTATTGGTAATTAGACTTGGGTTTCTTGTGTTTTTCCTGCGGCCGCCGCCATAACCAAATGGGGCGGGCCCCTCGAGGTGGCGTGGTAATTGACTTTCTACTCTGGTGTCTCGGCTGACAGGCGGCCATAATGGCTGAACCAACACTGCAGACTTTTGGCGGTGGGTGGGTGGGTGGCTGACCCTGGAGAGGCCGACACACCTGCAGTGTCTACACCACCGTGATGGTCACACCTGCAGTGACTACACCACGATGGACACACCTGCAGTGTCTATACCACGATGGTCACACACCTGCAGTGACTACACCACCATGATGGACACACCTGCAGTGACTACACCACCACGATGGACACACCTGCAGTGACTACACCACCACGATGGACACACCTGCAGTGACTACACCACCACGATGGTCACACACCTGCAGTGACTACACCACCACGATGGTCACACCTGCAGTGTCTACACCACCACGATGGACACACCTGAAGTGACTACACCACCACGATGGTCACACCTGCAGTGACTACAACACCACGATGGACACACACCTGCAGTGACTACACCACCACGATGGTCACACCTACAGTGACTACACCACCACGATGGTCACACCTACAGTGACTACACCACCACGATGGTCACACCTGCAGTGACTACACCACCACGATGGTCACTCCTGCAGTGACTACACCACCACGATGGTCACACCTACAGTGACTACACCACTGTGATGGTCACACCTACAGTGACTACACCACCACGATGGTCACACACCTACAGTGACTACACCACCACGAGGGTCACACACCTACAGTGACTACACCACCACGATGGACACACCTGCAGTGACTACACCACCACGAGGGTCACACACCTACAGTGACTACACCACCACGATGGACACACCTGAAGTGACTACACCACTGTGATGGTCACACCTACAGTGACTACACCACCACGATGGTCACAGACCTGCAGTGACTACACCACCACGAGGGTCACACACCTACAGTGACTACACCACCACGAGGGTCACACCTACAGTGACTACACCACTGTGATGGACACAAAAAGAGAGACATTCCAGAGGGAGGCTGAGACGAGCATAAAGAGTAAGGCGTGACTCGTCTGTGGTGTAATTATCGCTCGGGTGATCACAGCGAGGTCACTTGTAATATAATGACGCGGCCGATGTAGGTCACCTCCTTCCCACAACACTATCAGTGGTTGTTGAGAGTGAGGTGCATGGGGGGGCGTGGCATGGGGGCAGGGGGCGTGGCATGTGGGCAGGGGGCGTGGCTTAGTGGGCAGGGGGCGTGACTTAGTGGGAGGCCAAGGGGAAACCCCACAGGGGGCGTGGCATGAGGGAAGGTGGGGAAGGCACTCTCAATGGACCAGCCTTATGAATGGGCCAAGACCAAAGGTCAAGAAGAGGTCAAAACATATCGCGGCTACGAGGGACATCTCTGGCAGGTGTGAGGTCCGCTGTGTTCCCCACCAGGAGACACAGTAGCCGAAGAGATATACTGAAAGATTGTGAAACTAAAGAGGTAAAGAAGGGAAGGAGGAACGGCGATGGGGAGAGATGGGAGGGAGGAGGGGCCAGAGAGGAGGTGAGGAAAGGTCATGAGGGAGAGGGATGGGGGAGGGGTAGGTCGTGCTGGCATCATTGCTAAATACATTTTCCATATCTCTCTTAGCGTAGCGGCCATGTCGTTGATATGGTGATCTGGCAGCCATGTGGCTGATCAACGTGATGTGGCAGCCATGTGGCTGATCAACGTAATG